TGGATTCTAGATATAAAATAAAGAACAATCAGACCACAACCCATAGAACCATGGAGGCTGTATATATAGCAAGGAGGTGCCTAGGATGACTGTGGCTTTTAATAAATTTCGGTTTTACTCAATTATTGAAAAAAAGAGCCAAATGAATGGAAACACATGAACTATGAACCAAAGGCTGAGGGGGCCCCAGCTGGATCAGGCCTTCTGAATAGGTGAGACAGTTGATTGGCTTGTTCAGTTTGGGAGGCAACTAGGCAGTGGGACCTGTGCTCATTGCATGAGTTGGCTGTTTGAAACCTGGAGCTTATGCAGGGACGTTTGGCTCAGTCTGGGAGGAAGGGACTGGACCTGCCTGGACTTAGTCTACCAGGTTGATCACAGTCCTCGGGGGAGGATTTGCCCTGGAGGAGGTGGGAATGGGGGGTGAGGTGGGGGTTAGGGGAGGGTGTGGGAGGGGGGAGAATAGGGGAACCCGTGGCTGATATGTAGAACTGAATGGTATTGTAAAATAAAATAAATAAAATTTAAAAAAAATAAAAATAAAAATAAAAATTAAAAAAAATTCATTTTTATTTTTTGAAAACATATTTTACCTATCTTGTGCTAAGAACTTTTAATTCATTTATACTATAATTATTTCATTTCTGTAAACAAACATTGGCTCCAATTTATATAAATGGTTCTATTTTTTTAGATCTTCTTGAGACAGGGTTTCTCTGTGTAGGTCTGGTTGTGCTGGAACTCATTCTGTAGACCAGGCTGACCTCAAACTCACAGAATACACCTGCCTCTGCCTCCTGAGTGCTAGGATTAAAGGCATGCACCATTACCAACAAGCTACATGGTACAGTTTAAGGAAGTAAGATCATCTATATACATATTGTCAAATTTTCAAACCCTTCTTCTCTTATATATTAGATTGCTGTGGGATAATGCTTTTGTAAACTGGTTTAATAAAATGCTGATTGGCCAGTAGCCAGACAGGAAGTATAGGCAAGAAAAGCAGACAAGGAGAATTCTGGGAAGAGGAAGGCTGATTCAGGAGACGCCAACATGCAGTCCAGGGAGCAGCATGTAATGGTATACAAGTAAAGGCTCAAAACAGGTGGTGACATATAGATTAACAGAAATGGGCTGAGTTTAAGTGTAAGAGCTAGTCAGTAGTTAGCCTGAGCCAATGGCCAAACAGTTTTAATTAATATAAGCCTCTGTGTGTTTATTTGGGTCTGAGCATATGCAGGCCCAGGTGGAAAGGAGAAAACACCAGCTACATTACATCCTGGCAGTTTCCCCTCTCTCCACTCCCCTCCGTATGACCTACCACCACCCCTCTGTCCCAGAATCACTCCTCTGTTTCCCTTCAGAAAAGAGCTGACCTCCCAGGGATATCAATGGAATACAGCACAGCAACTTACAACAAGACTAGGAACAAACCCTCATATCAAGGCTGAACAAGGCAACCCAGTAGGAGGAAAAGGGTCCCAAGAGCAGGCAAAAGAGCCAGAGACAGCCCCACTCCCACTGTTAGGGGTCCCACAAAAACACCAAGAAGCAGGCTGGGTGGTGGTGGCACACACATTTACTCCCAGCACTCAAGAGGCAAAGAAGGGCAAATCTCTGTGAGTTCGAGGCCAGCCTGTGCTACAGGGCTACAGAGTGAGTTCCAGGTCTTGAAAAGCAAAAAACAAAAAACAAAAAAACAAAAACTAATTTAAAGAAGAACATACATAAAGAGTACCTAGCTCAGACCCAAACAGGATCTGTGACTGTCCCTTCAGTCTCTGGGAGCTCCCAAAAGCCCTGCTTAGTTGATTCTGTGGACTGTGTTTTCCTGGTGTCCTCACACCCTCTGGCTTCTACAATCCTTCCTCTCCCTCCAAGGGGTTCATAAATGGCTGAAAAAAACTTGAAGAATTGTTCAGCATCCTAAGATATCACAGAAATTCAGATCAAAACTACTTTGTTATTCCATCTTATATCTGTTAAAATCACTAAAATCAAAATTACAAGTGACTGCCCATGCTGGAGAGGATGTGGAGCAAGGGGAATACTTTGTCATTGCTGGCAAGAGTACAATCTTCACAGCCACTGTGGAAATCAATGAGGTGGTTTCTCAGAAAATTGGGAATCTATCTACCTCAAGACTCAGCTCTGCCACTCCTGGGCATATACCCAGAGGACCCTCCATCCTACCGCAAGGACACTTGCTCAGCTATGTTCATTGTGGCTTGATTAATACCATCCAGACATTGGAAACAACCTAGATGTGTCTCAACCAAAGAATGGATAAAGAAAATGTGGCACATTACACAATGGAGTTGTACTCAGCAGTTTAAAAAAAAAAAAAGACATCAGGAAATTTGCAGGCATATGGATGGAACTAGAAAAAAATCATCCTGAATGAAGTAACCCAGAACCAGAAAGAAAAACATGGTATACACTCAATTATAAGTAGATATTAGCTATAAAGTAAAGGATACCCATGGCAAAATCCACAGACACAGAGAGGCTAAGTTACAATAAGGGCTCAAGGGGGGACTCGTTGATCTCCCTGGGAGGGGGAAATAGAATAGGCTTTGCAGGTGGACTGGGGGCTTGTGGGGATGAAGAGAGGAGGGTCAAGCCAGGGGTGGGGTGGAGGGAGAGAGTACACAGAGAGATGACTGGAATTGGGAGGGGGAGTCTATGGAATATGGAATATGAAAACCTAGTACAATGGAAACTCCCTGGAGTCTATGAGGGTGACCCTAGCAAAGATTCCTAATAATGGGGGATATGAACCTGAACAGGTCATCTTCTGTAGTCAGGCAAGTCTTTCAGGGGGGAGACTGGGACACCAACCCAGCCACAAGGCCTTTGTCCTGCCTGTAAGGACAACGGTTCTTAAAGTCCTCCAATCTTGGGAAACTCCTGTCCTCTTCTCCCATAGGCTAGGACTTGGCCCATCCCCAATTCCCTGTCCTACTGGTTTAGGACACAGAGCCTTATCTGATGAATAATTTGGGGCTGATATGGACCCTTAAATGGCCCTGGGTACAGTCACATAGCAGACAGCCTGGATCTCTCCTGCTCCGGGCTAGGGAGAGAGGGGCTCAGTACCTCCTGCTGGTCTGAAACTGATGAACTCTGAGAGCACCACATATGAAAATCAGTGGTAACAACTTACTACTTACACAGGCAGCCTAGCTTTGTGAGGGAGGATAGTGCCCAGGACAGGACAAGTGGAGGGAAGCGGTGGCTGGAGATCGGGAGGTCTGGAGAGGAACAGGAGACAGTGGCACCTGCTCAAATACAGTTACAGGGGACCACTGCAAAGCCAGGCCCCACCAGCTTGGTCAACACACATTGAGCTTTCCTGCAGGCCCCAAGGTGCGTTGAGACAGGCAGTGGCTGGATGCTGGCCTCATTCTGGGGCCCTCAGGCCTGCTGAGTTGACCTAGGGTCTTTCTGTGTGAACCCTGACTCAGTGCAAGGGTGCAGGTCCAAAAAGTGGGGAGGTACAGGAGGCTCTGGAGGACCTCAAACCATCCCATCTGGTGACAAGGACCACTCAGGCGCATATGGATGCACGAAGTTTATTGGACACAGAGATACAGGGTCTTTTGGGCTTTGCCTCCTCCAGCCCAGGGTCACCTGGGACACTGGTCCCTCCAGGTGGGTGAGCTTGGCTGAGAAGGGGTCATACGATGTGGGGATATGGGACTGAGATCTGAGCTCACTACTACTTTTTCTCATCTTTCCACTCCTCAAAATTGTTATGAACATCATCGACATCATCATCATCATCATCATCTTCTTCTTCTTCTTCTTGTTTTTGTTCATCCTTTTTTTTGTCTTTGCTATCTTCCTTCCCTTTGGCAGTGCCAGGGATGGGCACTGGTTCTCCAGGACGCATCAGTTTGTTATCGGTCCATTTAAAGCCTATCCCTTGGAGGCACATGTCTGAGTATACGCCATTGATAGTCTGTAGATGTTTGTCTGGACCTCCACTCTCTGCAATTGGACGTCCTTTTTTTTTACCAAAGGAAAACTCAGTCCCCTTGTTGGTAATAAATGTCAGAGAGTTCATGCAGAGTCCCACACTACCAAGAACCTTTATTACATACTCGTCATCATTCATCAGAAACTCTTCAAAACGGCTTGATCGGCCTCATTTGATATCACTCCATTGATTTTGAAACTGCAGCTGGATGCTGGAGAGAAATCAAGTCAGTACAACCTCAAGTATTCTTGTTCTTACTCATAACTGTGCCCTGTCCTGGTTCCTGGTTCACAGTTTATTCTCCAGAAGTGCCCAGCTCTGATATGGCAGACTGAGTCCTTTCTCCTTCTGGCTCTTCCAGACACATTCCTTTTCACTGGTCTTCATAGGGTCTGGCTCAGGTCATGCTACTGTGCCTGGGTGGCTAGAGCTACTACTACAGATCATTCAGAGCCTGAATCCTTTGCATTGTCTGCCCAAATCAGTTTCCCATCTGGAGCCTCCTCCTCTATGTGACCCAAATGAGGCAGCAGTCACAATGAGACCCCTCTGCTCAGGTCAGCAGACCTTATAGGCAGAGACCAGAGGGACAGGGTCATCTCTCCTAGGCAGGAGGGAACAGGAGAGCCCTAGGAGCTGTCTACAGAGCAAAGAAGTTTTCTAAATTATTGCTAATGTGAAGTTCCTTCTCTTGCAATATAAAATACATTCCAAATCACACCACAGGTAACACTCAGGAAGGATATCCAATTCAACTAGAAATTCAGAAAATCATGAGTAATTTCCTTTGTAAGCAGATTTTGTGTCGCATGGTTTATTTGCCTATTTCTGACATTGATTTATTATTTATTTTGTCCGTGTGTGTGTGTGTGTGTGTGTGTGTGTGTGTGTGTGT